CTTCTTACAGCTTACAGATGCTGGATCTCTCTCTTATTTAGAGCAACTTCTATATTTTAAGTCTTTGAATTATCTTCTTATTAATGTACGATGTAATTAGTTCTTTATACAGTCGATCAACTCCTAAATTGTAAGTCAGGGCCCGTCACTGTATGGTCTCCTTTTTAAGCAGGCTTAATTCATCCGCAATTTGGCACTCCCTGGTAGCAGTGGGAATTTGTCAAGCAGTAAATCCTTTCCACTTTTATCACAGGGATCACACTTCCAAGATTTTTCCAGCCACTCTGGATCTTCTGACACAACAGAGGGTACTGTAATAAGTCAATGTAGTTATGCAATTAATATCATTTTCAAAATTTGTACTTCTTTTCCTTAATGCTTAATTCCCCTTTACTTCCACATCAGATTACCCTCATCTATCTTCATTCACCTATCAATTCAGTTGCCGACATTTTTTTTTCTTGGACTTTTAAGAGGGGGTGTACATGTCAAGTAATAAAATATATTTAACAAATATCTCCTGGGCCATACCTGTCATAAGATACACTGCTGGCATCATAAACTGGATGCAGGCAGAACAATTTGGACAGAAAAACAAGAAAACTCATGACCATAATTCACTGCATTCTCGCAGTGATGTTGACTGGCTCTATCTGCATAGAAGGTCTGGTGGCAGAGGACCTTTACAAGTCAAACAAGCAGTTGAAGAAGAAAAACACGGCAGAATATGTCAAGGAAAGCCAAGAACCTGCTTTAATTTTTTTATAATAATTTTTATTAAATTTTCACAAAAGAATTACAATGAAAAAAACGTTTCCAAATGTTCCCACTAAATAATAAAAAAAAACACAAAAACACACAAAACCATCAGCAACAAGAAAAAGAAGAAAAAAAATAAAAAAAACACTCACACAAACCAACACCCTAGTGCAGGGGTCCCCAAACTACGGCCCATGGGCCGTATGCGGCCCGCCGAGGGCATTTCTCCGGCCCACACGGCATGGCCTGGCTTGGCCACACCCACCCTGCGCCGCTCCGCCAATCGCGGAAACCCTCTGCTCCGGCCGCTCTGCTCGTGTGGGAGGGAGAAGCCTCCCAGGTGGGTCCTCTGGAGACCAGAGTGGCCGGAGCAGAGGGTTCCCGGCCGCTATTGCCGGAGCAGTGCCGGGTGGGCGTGGCCAGGGAATGCCGGCGTTCCCTAGCCACGCCCACCTGGCGCCGCTCCGCCAATAGCGGGAACCCTCTGCTCCGCCCACTCTGCTCTCCGCGGCCACAAGGCACCTCCCACTCCACTCCTAGCCGCGCCGGGAGAACAAGCCCCACAGTGCCGCTCTGAAAAGGTTTGACACATTTGGGCACATCAATAATAATAATAATATATTTAATAATAATATATATAATAATAATAATAATAATATTTGTCAAATACATATATATACACAATTATTATTATTATTATTATTATTATTATTATCAGTGGCAAGTTTGCTCCAGATACATCATTGTATGAGTTCACAGCAATCTCTGGATTCTATTTCCCTCAAACTCCACCAGTGTTCACATTTGGGCATATGGAATATCAGTGCCAAGTTTGGTCCAGATCTATCATTGAG